CCCATAGGAGACTGCAATGATTATGGATGAAATACATTTTAGTCATGAAGCTTTGGGACACTTCATGAAAGAAACAAATGCCATGAAAATACTCAAGGAACTTTCAAATAACGACTTGCATAAGATTTTCCACTGCCCACCCCTTTATTATGGTGTTTGATAAATATTAACAGACATGACAAGGTTTGGTATATGAAGAAACAAAAAACGCCTACCCTTCAGTCCTACCTCCCTCCTCTAAAAGAAGTAGCTCCATATATTTAAAATGAATAACAAATTGGCTCAGATTGACTGCCAACTCTGTCATAAGTGGTCCCAGCAGAGCTGGAGTTGCTGCAGTTTCAATGACTGCCAACTGAGAAGACAGATGTGTGACTGCAGCATTGCCATCAAGCCAACCTCGAAATAATGCCGTAAATTTGTATAAAGAGAAAGACAAGAGAGGGAACTAGTATTTGACGATAGTTACTATTAACTCTCAATTAGCTATATTAATCATGAGGAAAAGAAGCATAGAAAATGTTAAAAAATGGATAAATATCAAATTTTAAAACTGGTCAATAGCAGTACATGTTCAGACACTCCCTTAATTCAATACTCTTAAACTTATCTCTTCCTAGTTTGGTTCCATCAGTCAGTTCTATATGGGTTAGAGGAAGAAAGGGGCCTGGTTCTCTGCTTACTCATAGATATTGAAAAGTTGATTGGACAGTGTAATATTTTAACGTATAAACTGTAGTGTATGATTTTCAAATCACTTTTAAAGATAAGCTGATTTTTAAGTTAAGTACATAGCATCACAGTTATGTTTTATAGCAGAAAAAAATTTGTACTGTCATTAAAGGTATCAAATCATAAAAATATTTCCCAGAAACCTTCCAAGATAGAGATTTTGGCTTTAAAACCATTTTTATTTAAAACAAACCTTACTGTTAGAGATTTCTCTTTAATTAAAAAAAAATACATTATTTCTATTGTTAAAATAACACATGTATTAGTTTTTTTATAACTATTATTTGGATGTGAATAAAGAGACTCATTAAGAAGTTTAACCTTAAAACTTCTCAGTCCACAGACCATTTCAGCAGACATGACCCCTTAATTATTAAAAAGTAAAATAAACCAACAACAAAAAAACCCTTCTCTTAGCATGATTAAATCCTGTCACTCTCCATTCCTTGATCATGTCTTTTCCTGATATGAAAAGGAAAGGTTCCTTGTGTGAACAGCAAAAAAGGAGCCCACAGTATCAAGAATCACCAGGCTTATTTCCATTATCGTGGCTTCCCCGTCTAATTTGGGAACCTGTGTGAGCTCTCCTTGCCCCTCCAGCTCAACTCAAATTTTAGCAGAAAAGTAACTCCAAGTAATCATTACTCTCCATTGTCTTACCCTTTTTACCCTGTGTTGACTGAAACTTTACTCAGACACCTAGAACTTACATCCTACTCAAGTACTACCATTATCATACTTTGAAAACCCATGTCCTCTACTGTTAGGTAAATGATTAAGATTTGTTTTTATATCCAGCGATGCCTACATTAGAATTGTTTTAAGAGCATACCAGTAGAAAGAATACTGTTCTGATAATTAGGAAATTTAGATTCTGGTCCTAGCTCTGCCACTAATTAACTGTGTGTTCTTAGGGAAGTCATTTAACTTCTCTGAACCACAGTTTCTTCATTTACATAATAAAGTAAGTTCTTTGTAGCACTAACAACCTTAATTTTATTAGTAGGAAAACACTGGCTGAGAGCCTTGAGATTTCATTTATGACAAAGAGGATCTCAGCCAAGAGAAAAAAAAAATCACTATAATCTTCCTTTACCTAATTACATTTTGACACCCCCCCCAACTCTATCCAAGAAGCATTGCTCATTGTAGGAAAATATGCAACAGAGAGAAATACAACTGAGTCAAACTTTGTATGATCTCATTCCTCAGTGTTTTCTAGCCACTGACATTCTCCCACATCTCAGCTGTTCTTAACAACTTCTCTAGGTAAGTGGTTTTCAATGATAATCTATGCGGAACTGCTTTCTCTAGACTCATTTAATAGCTACCTTTTGAACCATATGACCCTTCTTGTCCTTCTCCCTACCCCGCCCCTCCTATATACAGTAAACTCTGACAACCAGTTCTGCTGCTGTCATTTACTGACCACCAACCATGGGCCAGGCACTGCTCAAGGAAAGTTCAATTTTGCTTCCTTTAATCCTTACAAAAGCCCTGAAAGGTAAATATTAGCCCTCATTTTAAAAATAAGGATACAGACTCAGAGAGATTAAGTAACAGTTAAGCTCACAAAACTTGAATCCATATCTGTCTGACTCAGAAACCTCTCCCTCTCAGGTAATTAATACTAAAGCAATATAGAATTTAACTTCCCTCTGATGATTCAAAACACAGTTTAGAAAGCAATAGAACACAGGAAAGAAAGAAGTAAAGATGGATGATGATGATATAGGTATGTTTGGAAGGGAAAGAAGCAAAAGAAGTTCATGGTTGATGACCTCTATTAATCTATAAAGCCAAACAAGATTTGCATTATTTTCATACTACGTCTTTAAAGGTAGTAACTGATTGGCTAACTAGCCCCCATTTGTCTCAATTACTGAGGTCTCAATATAGTCCATATTTAGGCAAAAGTCTATAAAAATCACTTTCCACCAATTTTTATTTTAAATCTATTAAGAAGTTGAGAGAATAGTAAAAGTCACAAACTTATATACCCTTTTCCTGGATTAACCCATTGTTACCATTTTGCCACAAATCGCTCCATCTTTTTCTTTCCACAAATGATTTTGTTTGAACCACTTGAAACAGAACTAGAGATATGACACTTCTCTAAATAACGTAGCATGCAGCTTCTAAGAATAAAAATATTTTCCTACATAACCACAGTAAGACATATAAGAAAATAAAAAATTCCTTAATATTTAATGTGTAGTCCAAATTCAATTTCCCCAATTGTTCTAAATAATGTCTTCGTGGCTTTAATCCAGTATCTAATCAAAGTTAATATGGTAGACTTGATTGTTATATTTCTTTTAATCTACAAAATCCCCTCAATTTTTTTGTTTTGAATTTTTTGGTTTCCCATGACTGATTTTTCAAGAGTCCAAGCCGATTATCTTTCAGAATGTCTCACGCATAGACTGATTATTTTCTTGTTACTTGATTCAGTTAAACATTTTTGGTAAGAACACTACATTATCTTCCAGAATGTCTCACACATAGAATGTCTGATTATTTTCTTATTATTAGACTCAGGTTAAACATTTTTAAAAAGAATACTACATATGGGATATTGTGCACTTCTCATGTCAGATCAAGAGGCAAACAATGTCATTATCCCACTATTGGTGATGTTAGATTTGATCACTTGATTGAAGTGGTACTTGTCAGCACTGTTGCAAAGGTACATTTGCTCCTTTGTAATTTTTAAGTAATGTGTAGAGTAATATTTTTGAGACTATGCAAATATCCTGTTCCCCGACAATTTTAAATTCAATGGTTTTAGCATCCCTTGATGACCCTTGCCTGAATAATTCAATCATTGAGCTGGGGCTACAACATGGTGGCTTTCTCATTAAATTGTACAATTAAAATGAGTATATATAAATTAAATTAAAATGAGGTATATAAATTATACCTAAATAAAATTTTTAAAATAATTCAGTAACTTGCAATTTATATTTGGTTCATTTCCTGCTAGTATATTTTTTCTGCCAAGAAATGACTGACAGTTGAAACATTTTATAAATCAGGCCGAGTACTCAAGATAAGGGAAAGCTTAATAAATGTATTCTCTTGAAAGTGTTTTTAATGGTGGTTCTCTAATCCTATCATTCCTTCTATAATTATTAGCTGCCATGGGTCTATAAAGACTTTCCCCTGTACCTTCCATTTCTCTCTCTCTCTCTCTCTCTCTCTTTTTTTTTGGAGTATCACTGTGGACTCACGAGTTTTTCTCCCTCAATGTGTTATAATCCATCACTGTCATTATTCTTTTTGATGTTGAAACCTGATTTGGCCAGTAGAAGCCCATTAAAGCACAATCTTGTATCCTGATATAATCTCGTAAGTCGTTGAACAATCTTTGTTTTCTGGCATGAAAAGTGCCAAACTCACCCTGTACTTTCCCTGCCTGAGACCTGAGATCAGATATTTCTCCAAGGTTCCTTTTAATCGTAATGGTATTTAGAAACCAAGATCTAGGTGTTAGATGTGCTCACTGCTATCAGGGTGTGTCATTGCTTCTTGGCCCCTTCCATGTACAGAAAAAGGAAATATGAATGCATACTGATGTTTGCAATTCAAATTTATAATAAAAATATGAAAGGAAGAAAAACATATCTCTTTTATCTTTCAATGAAAATCTTGGTTTCTATTATCAATATACTCGTGCATTTGCTTTCTACTATAATATATATATGGTAGTAATATTATACCACATGCATATATAATACATAGTATAATTCTGAAACTAACGATAAACTTATTAAGATAGCTTAAGATTTCTTTGCAGTCCTTTTTATCATTAAGATTACATCCTACCAAGGATGCATCATCAAGAACACTAAGTACAAAAGTTATCTGAGCTGCACGTTTATGTTATAGATTAGTTACACAGGTTTATTTGTTTTCATTTTGTATTCAATTTTAGCATTTGTCTTTCTTCCCATTATTTTTGGCTTAATTTAAATTTTTGAGTATTTAAACTTTTATATGGTCCAGAAGTCAAAATTGTATAAAAAGGTATACTCACAGAAGTACTGTTTCTATCCCTATCTCCTCCACCTCATTCCTAAACATCCCCTATTTTCATCAGTTTCTAGTTTATCCTTCCTGTGTTTCATTTTATAAAAATAAGCAATTACGGTTCTTCAGAATTAATATAGACATACCATGTGTTAAATAATACCCCTACAACTGAGCTCTTATTTGAGTGTGGTCATGGTGCACAAAACCTGACTTGTATCACATTTTCTACTTACAGATAACTTGGGGTACAAATAAACTCCCACCTGAAGTCTGATGAATCCATTGTAGAAAGTCCATATGAGCTTTCAGAATTTTGCAGATCTGCTGGAGCTAAAAACACACACAGGATTTTTAGATTATGATTTTTCTGATATGGTAAATTAAAACAAAGCATAAAAAATTGAAATTAGGAAGTTATTTTCATTTCTTCTGGTAAGAAATTGACTGAGAATGTGCTAAATATTAATTGCACGGTTTTTTTGCTATTTTATATTTGTAATGTTCATTACATCTATATATTAGTTCAATCTATTTTGTAACTGTCAAGAATTCAATTTCTATAATTCAATAAAACACTGACTTCTATAGTACAAAAATAAGTAAAGAACATTAAGAGGCATTTGACAGGACAAGAAATTCATATAATATTTTTTTTGTTGTTGCAGTACGCGGGCCTCTCACTGTTGTGGCCTCTCCCGTTGCGGAGCACAGGCTCCGGACGCGCAGGCTCAGCGGCCACGGCTCACGGGCCCAGCCGCTCCGCGGCACATGGGATCCTCCCAGACCGGGGCACGAACCCGCGTCCCCTGCATCGGCAGGCGGACTCCCAACCACCGCGCCACCAGGGAAGCCCAATATTTTTTAAAATATTACCTTTTTACAAAAGGTAATCAACTTTTTTATTGAGGTATAACTGACATATGTAACATTATATTCGTTTCAGGTGCATACAGTAATGATTTGATATTCATATATATTGTGAAATGTTCACCACATTAAGTCTAGTTAACATCCACCATACAGTTACAAAAAAATTTTTTTTGTGTGATGAGGACTTTTCCAATCTATTCTTTTATCAATTTTCAAATATATAATACAGTATTATTATTAACTATAGCCACCATGACTTATTTATTTTATAACTAGAAGTTTGTACTTTTTGACCCCCTTCAGCCATTTTGCCCACCACCTACCTCCGGCCGCTGGCAACCACCAATCTGTTCTGTGTATCTATGAGCTTGGTTTAGTTTTAGTTTTTGTTCTCAAATTCCATATGTAAGTGAGATCATATGGTATTTGTCTTTCTCTATCTGACTTATTTTACTTTGCATAATGCCCTCAAGGTCCATCCATGTTGTCACAAGTGGCAAGATTTCCAAATAGCAATTTTTAATAAATGGTAATACTCAGTTGTCAAGTGAGTGGGGGAAATAGGTACATTCATATACAGCCTATGGTAATATAAATTGACCCAGCCCTTCAAAATGTAAATTTTTGCAATATATACCAAAGTCTTAAAACATTCGTACCTTTTAACTCAGTATATTCTACTTCTAGAAATCTATCCAGAGGAAATAATGAAACCTAAACATACAACTGGTCATTACAGGTTATTTCACAGGGGTAAAAATTTGAAACAATATCTCTATCAATAAAAAATGATTAAATATATTATGGTAAAGTCATCTCTAATGAAATATTAGAGTCATTAAAATCATATTTTCAAAGAATGGTTAAAATTTTGGGAAAATACTATGAAAGAATATTGAATGAAGACAGAATCCAAACCTTTATATAGGTATGTTTCTGAAGTTATTTAAAAGAAAATAAGTATTTTTACCAGCATAGCAAAAATACTTGGAAGAAATACACTAATATATTAGCATAGTACTGGTAACACAAGTGTTTTACTTTTCTTTACAGATTTCCATATTTCCCGAGCTTAATACATTAATACATATGCATTAACTTTGTAACAAAAATACTAATCCTTTTAAAAATGTTAGAACACTTTTGACAAATACTCTGGCAAAGTCCAGGATAATACTGAAAACAAGAAGAAATGAAAATGTTACCACACAAACAGTATGTAATAAAAACAGCAAATTTAGTGTCTTAATATAACAAACAGAAATATAATTTGTAGTCGGAACAATGAATTTTTATAAAAATATGAGGCTGAATATCATATACCATAATATGAACTTGCTTAATAAAAATTTTAGAAATTAGGCGGTCTTTCCTATCTCCCCTCAAAAATGGTGAAAATAAACAGGTAAGTCTCACCATCGTGAATACTGCTGAACATACTTGGTATTTTTCTACCCTGGTGTATGGTCCACAATAACAAAGCTCTGTTGATCTGGTTACACTTAATTATCTACAAGAATATTATTGTTCAACAAATATTTTCTCTGCTTCCTGTCCAATGATTTATGCTATCTGAGAAAAGAGATGAATTGTTGCTGATTTCTTGCTTCTTTTGTCCTGCTATCAAGAAGCAATTATCCTTTAATTCACTCATCTTAAACATCTCAATCACTCTTGCCAGTAAAAACAAAAAACAAAAGACTCAAACCATTTACTCCCCACTACTAAAATAAAATGAAACAATCCAAGGCTAAGCAGAGAAAAAGGATAAGGATGGGATTACAGTCTCCTTTTACTTACTCTGTTCAGAACACTCATTTTATATTAATTCAACACAGAGAGATTAGACATCAGCTCTGCTTCATGTCTAAGTATGCATGTATTTATCTATGCATCAAAGTTCTATGACAACAAGACAATTTTGAATTTTAGAATCACAATGTTGATTTAATCTTTCACTAAAAAGAAAACCTATATTGTCAACTCTTGCATCTGCATGAACACAGGAAGATGGTATCATGTATAATCCCAGACTAATTTATATTTGTAATTATTCAATTTTAGATTCACCCAAAGTAGGGAATGGCATAATTTTTATAGCTGGAGGAGACTTCAAGATCATTTAGTCCACCCTTGACATTCTGCAAAAGGAGCTAAGACCCAGAGAGATTAAGTGACTTGAATAAAATTCTAGTGCTTTCTCAACTATACCATGCTCTCTTTCTAATTAAAAAAGCTAGTAATATGTATATAGATAAAGAACTGTCTATGTATAATTGACACAGAGCTCACTAAAGAATAATTACTACTTACAGATAGGTCATTCATCCTCGCCTATCCAGCTCCTGGCTCCACTCCTAATTATAATCAACTGATAGAAAGTACAATGGAAGCTCCCACAAGGGGAGATTCCTCTTACCATCACTGCCATGGGGTTGGGAGAGGGGAAAAGGAGGACTCCATTTAGCAGCTAAGACAATAGGGAAAGGTTGAGTAAATAAGCTCTTTAATTAGAGTATAGTAAAAGGAAAATAAACCAGTCCTTCCTTACCTCCAAATTAATTCAAAAATCTCAACTCTCTAATTGGAGCCTCGGCTGTATTTTCTCATGTTACAATAAATTTACATTATGAGTTAACTAGGATTCCACAAGGCAGGTGGAAACCTAATAAGCATACTTAACAAATATCTATAGAAAAATATATTTTTAAGTCTTATAATTGACTTATCAAACTTTTGAGATATATCCTAATTATAAGTTAAGGATTGCCTGGATATACCTAACAGACTCAAACATGTATATACATACAGATATATGTATATATACACACTTACAGTTATATGAATATATAGATTAATATGTAAAAGGAAGGATAAACTAGCTAACGAGTAAGTGAACAGAAAAATAAGAACAAGGACAGGGCTTCCCTGGTGGTGCAGTGGTTGGGAGTCCGCCTGCCGATGCAGGGAACACGGGTTCGTGCCCCGGTCCGGGAAGAACCCACACGCCGCGGAGCGGCTGGGCCTGTGAGCCATGGCCGCTGAGCCTGCGCGTCCGGAGCCTATGCTCCACAACGGGAGAGGCCACAACAGTGAGAGGCCCGCGTACCGCCAAAAAAAAAAAAAAAAAAAAAAGAACAAGGACATACTTATAGGAAGAACAGAGAGAAAACCCTGAAAATTTTGGGAGAACAGTAATTTTTTTTACCCTCCTGGGAATAACCACAAAAAACTTACAACCTTTTCTGCTCCTAAATATTTCCTGCCCCACTAACTACACCCAAAAGCTTCATATCTCTGGAGGCAGGTAAGGAGCACTACAGTGGACAGGAGAAGGTAACTAGCTAAAGGAATGACAGAATGCTAATTTCATACTAAATTCTGGTTGCCTAAATAGATAAAGCAGTTAACACACCGGGTCAGTAGTGTCAGCAGGACTTCCAAATGTATTCAGGTACTCAATAATGTCCTTGAGATCTTGGGCCGTTCGTTTCAGCTGAGCATCTACATCTTCTGCTAACTTGTAACTGAAAAGGTAGGTAAAATAAAGGGATTAACCAGAAATGTTTTCTCCACTATGCACTGTTACTGACATACAAAGAATGATACCACCAACTGGATTTGCCCCAGTTCCCCTACCTTCTCATTTTAATGGATGTAGCATTCATGACCATATTCTAAAAAGACTCCAAAGGTGAAAGCTTTTATCCATCTTGTCATTTTTACAGTCACCTATTTACCCTCTTTTTAGGTATCAGAATAAACCCATAGGTCACTTAGATATGTGAGAAGTTATTTGGTGTTTGGCAATATTTAGTAAATGCTGAGATGTCTTCAACAATTTTGAATACATAAATTTTCAAAGTAAAACCTTATACAAATATCCTCCATCATCCAACAAAAGATATTTTAAGAAATGAGATTCATAATAATCAAAGGCAGATAAATCTGCTAAGTTCACAACAAATTGATTAGTTGGCTAAATTCTCAAGATTTCCATGCCAACTATTTGTGCATGCGCACCCACGCGCGCACACACACACACACACACACACACACACACACACACTCACTCTTAACCTAGTCAATGAATATGTTTATAAGAATTAAAGTGACCAGAGGATTTTTCAATCTTAACGTCTATAAATATTAAATAATTCAATTAGATTTATTGATAACCATCTACTGCTTTTCTGTCCCAAAGTACTTATAGGTAATTGGTTGCCTAGATTGTTGAAGATTCTAGTAAAGATTCCAATACAATGTAAATCTGACTACCTAAAAGCAATTGGAAAGAACCTAATGTTTCAATTATTTCTTCAACCTACAGTTAGGATCTCATGGCTGAAAATGTAAATCTATGTTTCCCCCCAAAAATGATAGAATGCATAGAATAGTCAATGCAAAGGAAAGAAATATTCACAAAGGCTGAAATACAAAAGCAGAAACAGAACTAGGGTCCATACAGATTAGCTGTACTTACCACGTTTAATGCACCTACAAAAAAGCTAACTTGCAAGGTTTTAAAAAATAAGCTCAGTCTTGGCTCACTAATAAGCCATTGATAAAATGAGTCAGATTTAACCTCAATCTAGTTTATGTAGCCATTCATACAAGTTCTCCTAACAGCATTTTATAATTTGGCCTGATTAACAAATCTCCGGTCCAAAGAGATAAAGTTACTGTGGGAACATTGGCAATACATTGACCAAAGGTGAAGACTGAATCACACACAAATAAAATATATCCAGCCCAAGACATTGACAAAATCATTCAACGTTTAAAAGCCATGCAGTTTGCCCCCAGATTAACTAATTGCCTTTAAAATAGGAAATGGATTTATCACTGAAGCAACTGAAGGAACATTAGGTTTAAAAGAGTCAGTATAAATAGGAGATCATAAATATTCCCCAATATCATGACACCACATATATAAAATTGGTATTTCTGATTTAAGAACAAATTTGACAAATACAAAAACTTTATATAAGTGGTCATGTATAAGCTTGAGATTAATAACATTGTACAAAATGCTATAAAACAAAATTGCCAGAATGACTACTTCATTTTCAAGCATCCTGAAAAGATAATAGTCAAATAAGGTGATAAATGGCAACTACCAGAACTTGCACTTTTCTACCAATTATTTTATTCCCTGCCTTTCAATACCATTTTTTCCCTTTTTTGGTAGCTAAGTCCTGCCCCATTCCTCAATCTTTATTCAGTTGCTTACATCCTCTCACGCTCCTCATCTGTACGCTGCAGATAAACAGACCCACTCTGGTCCTTTACAGACTCCTCTAAAGGGGTCAAGAGATCTTCTAGTTCTTTCTGCTGTGACAGGATAAAATACAATTCTTGCTCCAGCCTGAAAAAAATAACAAGTCAATAGAAGGGCTGACGAAAGGAATGTGGAGTGACAAAATAAATGTCAATAAACTATAACAAGGAAAAACAACTGGACAAAGAAATAGATCTTTAATCTTTCAACCTAGGGAATCTAAGATTCTACCTTTTCTGATCCTGTTTCACCTTTTGCACTTCTCCATGTAAAGCAATAATCTATAAAGGAAAATAAGAATACAATAGTGTAAATATTTGAATTTACATTGTAATTTTAAAGCAGTATTTTTTTTGTTTTGTTTTTTTTTGGCGATACGCGGGCCTCTCACTGCTGTGGCCCCTCCTGTAGCGGAGCACAGGCTCCTGATGCGCAGGCTCTGCGGCCATGCCTCACGGGCCCAGCCACTCCGCGGCATGTGGGATCCTCCCGGACCGGGGCACAAACCCGTGTCCCCTGCACGGCAGGCGGACTCTCAACCACTGCGCCACCAGGGAAGCCCCTAAACCACTATTTTTTTTCTCTTATACACTTCAAGTATGAAAGAGTTCCTAATTCAGGGCACTTATTACCTACAGAAAATATTTTTAAGTTTATCACCAATATTGGAAGGAAAAATTAACCACTAAACACAGGTCTATTCTCCTGTGTTCATCTGAAAGTACTTGTACAATGCAGGTAGATTAATGAGAATATCTTCTTACCGTCTCACCATTCTCAATCAATGTATAGTCCCAAGCATTGACCTGGGTGACCTGATGAAGAAAGTGTTTCTCTTGATCCTCTAACTCAAGGCTCCATTTGTTTACCAGACCACCCAGCTGACCATATGTCATCACAGGAGTTATGATTTCACTAAAAAAAAAAAGGATACAGTATGATCATATGATCATACTTTCAAAAGTATGATCAGATTTTTTTATACTTTAGTACAACATATGAGGACTTAGAGAAGAAAACAGCACATGAGGAGTTTCTCAGACCTGTTCCCCAACAAAACCACCATAACTGGTAAAGATTATTTTAAAAACAACCATTCAAACTCTCTGGAAATTATCTTAACGGAATACAGCAAATAAAGATTTATTAAGATATCTACTAAATTTCAGTAAGAACAGCTAAAGTCTGTGCCACAAACTGCTCCCTTCCTTCTCCCTCAACTCAGCATGATGTAAGCTCCATTCTGCATTTATGCGGACAAAGAGATGGGATTCCCTCTCCCCTCAGCTCTTAGTCAAAGTGATCCACTCCCCATCTAAGCAGTATCCATGACACAGTAGGCAGCTGATCTTCCACCCTCCACTGGGCAGAACTAAGGGGAACTCTGATTCCCCTACCAGGTGGTATCAAATAGGCTGAACAGATACCTTATTTTCCATCAAGGGACTGGCGGAACCAGGCAATGCTCTGATTCCCTGCTGGGGCAGTGTCGGGAGGGCTGGGTGGAGAGGTGATCATCAATTCCCAGCCCAGCAGAGGCAGGCAGTGTTCCAATTACCCCACCAGGGCATTGTTGGCGAGGTCCAGTGATAAGCTGAACCTAAATCCCCACCCAGCAGCAACAAGACTTAATAAGGCAGAGTGAGACAGTGTTAGTTACCATGAGGCTTCACCCCTTGTCTTCAGTGTCAGTGGCGGCCAATGGAGACCTGAACCTGTATACCCACCTGGCATCATTGAGACTGAACAAGGTAATGCAACTCCGGCTAATAAGGACTCCACCTCCCACCACCCCTAGGTCAGCAAGGCTAAGTGGAGAGCTTAACCTCTATACCCACTGGAAAAATTAAGACTGACTGAGGCAGGGCAAAGCAGAGCCAGCACTCTGTGCCCCTTCTCCCAGAGCCTCAGTCACCACTCTTGTCCCCCATCTCCCAGAGCCTATGTCAGTGGGACCCAGTAGTGAGCTAAGCTTCCATACCAACCCACCGTCAATGAGGCTGAATGAAGTGATATGAGGCAGAGTAGTTGACATCTTGCTTCCCCCCTCCACCTGTGTCAGTGGGGCCCAATAGGAAGCTGAAATTCTGCAGCAACTAAGCAATATGAGCTAGTCCCCCGCTTCCTCTTGTTCTGGGAGCCCTGGGGCCCAGATGGGAGTTGAGCTTATAACCCCACTAGAGGCAATGACGTAGTACAATGCAATGCCCCCACTTTCATGGGGAATGAGTCAGCAGGGCGGAGGGGGAACTGAACTTCCACACCTTTCATCTGCACTGAGGCAGTGTGAGTTACTGCACCACTTTGGCTGAGGTGGTGTGGGCAGGGTCCAGTGGGAAGCTGAACATACAAACGTACCCAACTCTTGCACTACACCTTAACAAAAGGATTCCCTAATTAACAAAGATTTAAATAGGACCAAGATCTCCTAACATAATAGATTAAATGTAAAGGATACAATCGAAAATTACCCATCATATCAAGAACCAGGAAAACGACAACTCAAAAGAGAAGAAAACCTAGAGATCCCAACATTGAGAGGTATCTGATGTTGGAATTATCTGAAAAGAATTTTAAAGCAACCATCAAAAAAATGTTCCAACAAGCAATTATGAAGTCTGGGGAAACAAATGAAAAAAAAGAAAACCTCAGCAAAGAAATAGAAGTTATGAAAAACAATCAGATGGAAATTAAAGAAAAGAAAAATAACTGAAATAAATGCTCACTTGAAGGGCTTGATACTAGAGTAGAGATGACAGAGAATAGAATCAGTGAACTTGAGGATAAATTAATAGAACTTACAGAACAGCAGAGAGAGAATAGAGACAAAAAATGAAAAAAAATCTCAAGGAACTGGAGGATGGTAATAAGAGGTAACATACTTATCATCAGAGAATTATACAAAGACAAAGAAAGACAGAATGAGATTTAAAAAGTATTCTGAAAAATAAAGGTTGAAAAATTCCCAAAGTTGTCAAAAGATATAAACCTAAAGACTCAAGAAGCTGAGCAAACCCCAAAGAGAATAATTCAAAGAAATCTATACTAAGACATATAATACTTAAATTTCTGAAAACTCAAAATAAAGAAAAAAATCTTGAAAGCAGCCAGAGAGAAACAACACATCACTTAAAATGCAACCCTAATTCGAATGACAGGAGATTTCTCATCTTAAACCATAGAGGCTAAAAGCAAGTGTCACAACATTTTTCAAGTACTGAAGAAAAAAAACTGTTGACCACAACTGCTATATCTGGTGAAAATGTCCTTGAGAAATGAAGGGAATATAAAGATATTTTTATGCAAAGCAAACTAAAGACAATTTGTTGCTGTCGAACCTACCCTTGAATATTGGCGAAATAGAAAGGAACTGAAAACAGAAGAAGGCATGGAATTTCATAAAGGAAAGAAGAACAGCTAAATGGATGGAAAAGGGTAAATATAATAGGCTATTCTACCCCTCGTGAGTTTCGTAAATCATATTTGATGGTTGAAGCAAAAAAGTATAACACCATGGAATGTGGGGTTCAAAGTACATAGAGGAAATACCTGAGACAATTATACTTCAAAGGTAAGAAACATAAAGGGGACTAAATGGAAGTAAGGTTTCTACACTTTACCCAAAGTGGTAAAACGTCATTATGGCTAGATGGTGGTAAGTTACATATGTATATTGCAACACCTAGAGCACTCAGTAAGAAAACTATACAAAGCAATATACTCAGAAGCACTATAAACGGAACAAGCTGGAAACCTATAAAATGCCTGAATAACCCACAGGAAGTTTTAAAAAAAGAGAAACAGAAAACAAAAAACAGAGGTAACAAACAACAACAACAAAATAATAAAATGGCAGACTTAAGCCCTAACACATCAATAATTACCTTAAATGTAGATGTGCTAAATATACCAACTAACAGAGAGAGATTGGCAGAATGGATAAAAATTATGATCCATCAATATGCTGTCTATAAGAAACTCACTTCAAATACAAGAACACATGTTGAAAGTAAAAGGATGGAAAAAGATATACATGCAAGATTAATTGTTAAAAATAAATGGCTATATTAATATCAGATAAAGTTGATTTGAGAGCAAAGAAAATTACCAGAGTCAAAGAGGAACATTACATAGTAATAAAGGAATTAAAGCACCAGGAAAGCTAATGATCCTGAATATGTACCAACCAAACAGCAGGACCCCAAAATACATGAAGCAAAACTGATAGGGCTAAAGAGAAAAATAGTCAAATCCACAATTACGGTTGGGAAATTCAAAAAGCCACTTTCCACAACTGAAAAGAAGCACTAGAGCAGCAAGGATACAGATCTGAAAATACAGTGAAGCAACAGAATCTAACTGACATATATAGAATACACTACCCAAGAGCAGAAAACAATTTTTAGGTGCTCATGGAACACTGACCAAGAAAGACCATATCCCCACTTGTAAAACAAATCTGAACAAATATATCAGAACTGAAATCATACAGAGCATGCTCTCCAATCATAATGGACTCAAATTAGAAATCAATATAAAAATAAAAGACAAGAAAATATCCAAACACTTGGATATTAACACACTTCTAAATAATCTATGAGTCAAAGAGGAATTCACAAGGGAAATTTTTTAAGTACATAGAACTGGATGAAAATGAAAATACAACATTATAGAAGATGTAGTACAAAGCTAACACAGTGCTAAGAAGGATATTTATAGCACTAAATGCTTTACATTACAAAAGGGGAAATGTCTCACATCAATAATCTAAGTCCATACCTCAAGAAAAAAGAGCAAAATAAAACCAATGCAATCAGAAGGCAAAAATTCATAAAGAGTAGACGTCAATGAAATTGAAAATGAAAATAATAGAGAATAATCAGTGAAATAAAAGCTACTCCTTTGGGAAAAGATGAATAAAATTGATAAAAGAAAGCTACAAATCACCAATGTTAGAAATGAAACAGGGGAGTATGCCTATAGCTATTAAAAGGACAAAAAGGAAATATGTACAACTTTACACTCATAAATTCCACAATTTAGAAGAAACAGACCAATTCCCTGAAAACCACATAATACTAAAACTCATGGAAGATGAAACATAACCTGAATAGTCCTAGAACCACTAAAGAAATTGATTTATAATTTAAAAACTCCTTAAAAAGGGGTTTCACTGGAGAATTCTGCCAAACTTTTAGTGAATTGACACAAATTTTACAAAATTTCTTCTATAAAATAGAAGAGAAGGGAATACTTCCCAGATCATCTTATAAGGCTAGTAACATTCAGATATCAAAACCAAGGACAGAATTTAAAAAAGAAAGAAAACAAAACTACGGACCAATATCTCTCATGAACTTGGATACGAAAGCCCACAAACAAAATACTAGTAAACTGAATCCAAAAATGTATTAAAAGGAGAGCTTTCCAAGATGGCGGAGGAGTAAGACGCAGAGATCGCCTTCCTCCCCACAGATACACCAGAAATACATCTACACGTGGAGCAACTCCTACAGAACACCTACTGAACGCTGGCAGGAGACCTCAGACCTCCCAAAAGGCACGAAACTCCCCACGTACCTGGGTAGGGCAAGAGAAAAAAGAATAAACAGAGACAAAAGGATAAGGACGGTACCTGCACCAGTGGGAGGGAGCCGTGAAGGAGGAAAGGTCTCCACACACTAGGAGCCCCTTCGCGGGCAGAGATTGCGGGAGGCGGAGCGGGGAGCTTCGGAGCCGCGGAGGACAGCACAGCAACAGGGGCGCGGAGGGCAAAGCGGAGAGATTCCCGCACAGAGGATCGGGGAAGATATAATTGTTGAAGAGAAAGATGACCCAAGGACTCATCCACTCATTCAAACAAAGACTCAGGCAACCCATGAAGAAATATTTACTGCAGGTATGAAGGATTGCTTCTTACAGACTTGCTCCTGGAGCTTGGTATGGCACCTTAATATCAGTTCTGGCACCTATGGTCAGTAAAGCACTAGCTCTGGTAGTTGCGATTATAGCAGATCTCAGTGAAAGAGAAAGAGTTCACCATGAAGGAAACAGAAAGGCAAACAAAAATAAAGAAATAAAGGTGAAACAAAGAAAGGATGGAGAAAACACAGAAAGGACCAACCCAGTTGACATGCAAACAGCTTTGGCAGGATATAGGAGTAGCAAGGACTCCAAAGGAAGACATTGATAAGCAACCTAATCAAGTCCTGTTATCTTTTGGGAAAGTCCTAACAAGACAGCTCACTCCTCTGCCTACTGACCATAAACATGTGGCAATGGGTCCCAGTGTCCCATCTCTAGAAGTAGAACACCAGGATGGATCCCCTACACGCAGAGAACTAGGGGTTGGGACAATGTTGCCCTCTACTTTGTGTTGTAGGAGGTGACTGGAAGCCCCAGGTGGAACTGCTGATTTATTGGACCTGCACGAACAGTCTTAGCACTGGTAGATACCACAGCTAAGTATACCTTACTGCATGACAACC